CACTAATGAGCGCTCTAGTCCTGCAGAGCCCACCCAGGCCCAGTGTTCGCCTCAGAATCCTAGAGGTGTTGATGCTCTTGTGGACGTGAACTAACGCCTTCTCAGCTGACTGCGAGAGACCTGCAGGACTAATCAGAGATAGGAAGCTGCTGAAACCAGAACAAGTGAAGACATTAGTGATAAACCAGGCCAGGACCAGAGGATTCTGTGGGTCTGGAGTAGAGGAGGGCTCTAAAACCTCGATCAGTTCCAGAAGCTCTTGGATCCGGTCTGCCGTGCAGACTGTGGATCTGGATCTGATCTGGGAACAGTGGTCTGAGCGTTTGCTGTGGCAGGATGGAGACCGACACTTTGACACAAGTGGGTGGTGGTGCGTGCAGCGCTGGCGGCTCAGCGCGCCCGCTTCGCTCCGCAGAAACCGATTCTTTAGGAATTATTTTTGCTGCGTTCGGGTGTCGATGTGCTCCATAGTGTCCAGGCTGAAGGCTTAAATCCGTGCATCAGAATTAAACCTTCACCCATTTATGTCTCTGTAGCCGACACTCTTTGTGTACGCGTTACAAAAGAAAGCGTGAGTCACTCTCCACTTCACAGCACAGCTCACAAGCTCTTTTCCTCCTGAACATTAGTGAATCCATCAGAGGGAAACCGTTAACTCAGCTGGATGTTGGTGCTTTTTACTTCAGTTTCGTGTTCCTGACCTTTTTTTCTTCTCCTGTCTGATTTTTCAACACGTCACGCAGAAGAGCAGCGCTTTCTCCTGATCCTTGTCAAAATGAGCGAGGCGTTCGGGTCGTTTAATGGCTCAGCATGATGAAACCACACGGCCTTTAAGGGTTTGTCCAACAGAACCCCCTCCTCTGTTGAACCGGTGACCTCTGCCTGAGCGTATCACGGGTTGCTCCGAGGCGTTTCCTTGTTGGGGGGCGGGGTCAGGCTGAAAAGCTATAGCTGAGACCTTTAAAGTGAAGGGCTGCTGGAGTCACTCGTTCATCCTGAGTCCACGTCTGAAACAACCTGTGGAGGAAATGATATTATAGCAATGTCATTTCATCACTCGTGGTGTGTCGTTAGCAACAAACCGCTAACTCGGCTCCGACTCAGGGGCGGGGCCTTATTCTGCTGGACCCACCATGCAGCCGGTCACGTACAGGGACAGCCCACAACAACACTGTGTAGGAATGAAAAATGGGGCAAATGATGTAGATCCAAACATGCTGGGGGGATAACACTGGAGCTAGCATTATGAGCTAAAATGGAGCTAATCTCAGAGCTAACTTAACAACATCACTAACTTCAAAGCAAATATCATAGCTAAGGTCGGAGCTAACATCAGATCTAGCATCAAAGCTATCATGTGAGCTATGTTAATGAACTAATAATAGACCTACCCTCTAAGCTAGCATTAGGGCTAACGTCAAGGCAAATTACTGTCACTAACCCAAACTTCCTTCTGTTGGAGTCATCAAGGTATGACATCACTGCAGTCTGATTGGCTGCTTTTGAGTCAAAGAAACGTTGATGGTCCAGAATTTAAACTTCGACGCTCCTCTACAGGTGGTTTTATTTTCTTAAAGCTGCAACGGCAAATTTGGAAAACTAATTAGCCTAAAACTTTTTTTATGTCTCTTAGCAACATGCTAACATCGTTAAGCTTTAAATATATCGTGGAGATAAGGAGGCAAAACAAAACCAAAAAAAGGAATAAAGTGGTTCTCTTGCATATATCCTAAAAACCTCCACCACAACCACAACTCGGACCAACAGCAACCACTGGACCATTCGGTTGTCATCCTCACTGAACCGCCGCACTTCCCTGGGTCCTCCTTAAGCTTGGTTTATGCTTGGCGCACTTACTTTCCGCTTGGTGATGCGGCTCGCGGATGGAACGCGCTTCACAACTTGCAGCGTTTATGGTTCATGCGGCTTGTCTCTGCGGTGAGCCGATATTCTCCCGAACTGTAGGGGGCAGCATGGAGCTCTACGGCATGCATCCGACACTACACCATAGTAGAAGTAAAAATGACTGTTTACAACATGGCATTCCAGCATTTTTTAACAGCGTCCTCGTCTTTTCCGACAGTGCGAGCTATTTCTCTCCAATAATTATAAACAACATGTTGATCACGGTGATCTTTGAGAGCTGAATCATACAAATGTCTGTATTTACGAACCTCTGCCATACTAGTTCTGGCCAGTCCACCATGTTTTTCCACGTCCGACCGTCCGCGTGGTTAGAAAATTTCCTAGGTGCGCGGTGCGGAAATTTTGGGCCGTGCGGAGGCGCGGTGGAGGGGCGTGGTTGTTAAAATGACCTCGCGGACGCGTCAAGCATAAACCAACCTTTACGCGCTCACGTCTTTAGCAACAGAACACCAGTGGTATGAGAGGTTCAGAGAAGGAGAAACAGCCGGCTGCTACCACTTTAAATTTAGGACAAACCACCAGAGTCCCAAAAAGAAAAACACCATTTGAAGTCACGGACAACTAAAGACGTTTGGACCTAGAAAACTGCGACTGGTGTTTAGAGCTATCTCGTTTCCTCGCCAATGTGGGTTTCTGATTCCGGCTGAAGCGTCTCAGGGAAGATACCTGAGGGGAGTGGTGAATGTTCTGTCACCAGAGCTTGTTTGCAGATGTGGGTGACGGTGGCACAGGAGTTAAGTGCTCACCTCGTAATCAGAAGGTTGCAGGTTCGAGCCCTGCTGTTACAGAGTCCTTGGGCAAGACACTGAACCTTGCTAACGTTGCTTGTTGGTGGTGGTCGGAGGGACCGGTGGCGCCTGTGCTCGGCAGCCTTGCCTCCGTCAGCGCGCCCCACGGCAGCTGTGGCTACATCGTAGCTCATCCCCACCAGTGTGTGAATGTGTGTGTGAATGGGTGAATGGCTGATTGTGTTGTAAAGCGCCTTGGGGGGTTTCCAGGTCTCTAGAAGGTGCGATATCAAATACAGGCCATTTACCATTCGCTATAACAGCTTTAAGACAAAGAAAGGTCCATCTCTATAAAATGGGTCTTTGTTGCATTTGTATTTGATGACCTCAGATGGCCACGCCCACCAATGACAGGTGTAGGAAAGGTCTGTTGAACCCTGATGTTAGCAGTGATTTTTCTCTCATTGGTTCTCAGAAGATTTTCATGTAAACCTGCTGGTATGAATGTGCGTGCTGCCCCGGTGGATCCCTGGACGTGCTCGTCACCGTTTGAATCATTCCTCCGGTTGTGTAATACGTGTTGTTTGTGAGTTTGCAGTGAATAATTTTAACACTGGCAGTCGGAGCCGAGCCGAGACCGTGTTATATTCTGTTTTTTGGGACGTGCAGAGCATCACATTCGGTCTTCTGGCAAACTTTGAGCTCCCGACACTTTTCCTGCATGCTGATGGGATTTTGTGCTGAGAAGGAAGAGTGTCACATTTGGTGAGTTTGGAGACTCAGTGAAAAGCGAGTCAGAGCATCATACACAACACGGAGAGGCGGTGAGATCAGTGCGTGTTACTGTCAGAGTGCAGTAGAGCGCGACACACATCTCCAGGCTGCAGCACATCACTCCAAGTGTGTGTGTGTGTTTGCCTTGTTTGGTGTTTCAGACTGTGTGTTTGTGAGTGGTGGGCCCAGAGGGGGGGTCCACTGAGTGAAAGGACTCCAGTCCAGGACCCGGGGTGATGGAGCGCTGGATTGTGACCTACATCCAGCCGAGTCTTACGCTCCCATGTGACGCTCCGACACAAGCAGCCACCGTTGGTTCTGCTGTGGACTCAGCAGACGTGATGAGTGGCTTGCACTGCAGGCAGAGAGCTGTCCCTTTGTCTCCTCAGCTGACAGAATGGTGACACGCTCACATTTCAGACTGCACGTCCTCTTTAATCCTCACAAGTCTGCCAGAGATGAGCCACCCTTTCATTTCAAACCATCTCGACTCGGATCATCGTTACCATTATAGATCAGTAAATACTTTCTGTGGGACTTGTTGGGCTAAATAAATCAGCTGTCAGCTTCCATGGTTGGGATGGGTACCAGGTCGCTCCAGGTGATCTCAGATTTACCTCCAGAATTCCCAGAGGAGTGGGTGGAACCGGCCCAAACCGCTTTCGTTAGCATTTGAAGGTGCCACCGACACTGATTAGCTGCTGGTTTGTTGTGTTTGCATCACGGACATCAGGTCATTTCAGGTCATCGGTAACCAAATTCACGCCCATCTTCTACCGGACCGGAACGAAAACGAATTTTAAAGGTACTTCCTGATACCGGTGTGTGCGTTACGAGTGCAAAGTGAGTTTTTAAGGTGCGATTGAAAATCCTGAAGAGAAGGCGCTTGCTCCACTGTCAGGAGGAGCTCGTTCCACAGCGTAGGGCTGTTACTGAGAAGGCCCTGTCCCTCTCTGATCTCAGTGTGGAGCGGGGAACCTCCAGCAGCTCCTGCCTCATCACATCAATACTTTTAAATGAAGTACAACACGTGTGATCCCGGGCGTAAGGCAGATCCACAGTCCAGCTCCCACCGGGTTCCATTATGTCACCGTGTCTCCTATATGAGACACTGGTGGTCACCATGGTGATGCGGATGAGACGCAGTGCGAAGCATTAACGTTTCTGTTATCTTCGGTTCTCGTTTACTCCTCTTAGATGGTTTCTTCATCAGGGGCAGCTTGAGCTGATAGGACCTCCTCCACCCAGAGACACAAGCCTGCACTTTCTCTTCTCCCGGCGTCCAACTGAAGAAAAGTGACTCAGTTTTATCGTTTTACATAAAAATGGAATGAATCATATGCCACGTTATGTAACAGCTGTAGTCAGGCACGCCAGAAAGTTACATTCAAAGAGCCGACGACCTCAGAAGGGAGGCGGAACACCCACTTTACCGATGATGATAAAAGTAACCCGCCACGTCTCGACACCGACGCCATCGGAAGACGTAAAGCAGAGCCCGCAGGTGGGGTTGTGAGTTAAAATCCCGCCACAGCTCTGCTGCTTCACATGTTGCCTCTCCTTGTTTGTCAG